AGAAGAATATGCTGCCTTTCTATAGCATCAAGAAATGGTTTAGATATTCTAGTCTTCTCGGATAGGGACGAATAAATGGAGGTCCCGTCTCCTGCAGGGCTAGGGGTAAGAGACGTTCATTTCCCACGCACGAGATTACTGTGTGATGGATGTCCTCCCCTGGAGTGGGATGGGTGGGTTGTTGTCTTGCGTTTCATTCATGAGCCTCTGGCTCGGGCAATATGGGTAACCATGCCCCACATAAAGACATTAAACTATGATTACTATTTACTGATTACTATTATAAATTCATAAAAACGCATGAATGTCACCGAACTGAAAATCACCCTCAGGTGCATATGTTTTTGTTTTCAGCTAGGAGGGCCATTGTTTGAAACATGGCAAATTTTGATGACACATTGCAATCGTCAGTTCACTCAGGAAAATCTCAGTTGTCCGGTATCGTTTCAAGAGAGTCAGGTATGTGTGATTGTAAAGAGAACTTTATTTGATGTTTGGCACGATGTGATCTGTTCTGTGAAACATTTCGATTGATTGGTGCATTACAGATTGATGTTAAATCAGAAATTAGGGAGGCTCTTCAATCTCCACCACAAGGCGGCTGCCGAGAGCTTGCCACAGTCCTTACTTGTGCGCAAGTCCTCCGTAAACTCCTTAACGACGACAACACTTGTGAGGTTGGTACCCTTCTTCTCACTAAAAACGTAAAAAATTTCCAAGTAATGTGGAAAGAGTAACCGAGTTGGTGAAGTGTTTTTCTATTTACACTAACATACAGGAAACTGTAAAGATTGCCCAAGACAGAGTAAAACTTTTCCTCCTTCATGGTGCACTCCTAAGGAAACTTCCCTTGAAATACAGAGCACATAGTATAAAAGGGACCTTGCTAAATGAATTCTGCGAGGAGAATGATGGCAAAGTTTTCCCCTTCGACGAGGTTAGTAAAAATTTACCTTTTACAAGTACGAATTGTTAGTCGTTGCGTACTTTTAAACTGGTCTAACAGTTTGAATAAGCAGTTCTAGCCCTTGTTATATCAGAAATTCGTCCATGACTGACCAGAATAGACATTGAATTTTGCAAAATATATTGAGGAAGTTATTTCACCCTACAGTATTAATATAAATCCAAGAAACCCTCTACCAACTTATTCTTTCCGCTATAAAGAATGTAAAGTACACCAGAACTGAACCTTGGGCGAAGGGCTTTCAAAACGGTTTACTCCGAAAGACTCAAAGAAGGAAACCCCACAAAGTAAATTCCTTTCGCCTGCTATTTTTATTGCAACTTTTGAAACCCCCTTCATGAATGAAAACAGAACAGCTTTACGGGCCCGTTAAGTTACCGGGCCCTACGAGTAACGGGCCCCTGCTGGTAACGTAACGGGTCAGATGCTATATTCTAAAAAACAAACAGACTCTAAAGAATAGAGAACTATCTAGGCTCTGGTTACCTGGCCAGTCCACTTTCTTGCTTCAGCTGATAGTTTCATTGTCAATTTTCCAAACGGTTAAACACCTCATCTTGAAAGAAAGCAAAACAGCTTTACGGGCCTGTCAAGTTACCTGAACCTTCGAGAAACGGTCCTGGGGCTTTTAGGGTGGGCATAATGTGTGAGAATTCTTAAAAGCAATTCGTTCCTATGATACGCCTCAGATTCACACAGGTTTATGGCAGATTTTAAAGCTGATGCAACTCGCTTTGGAAGACGCACACCGAGACGAGAGTGTGGAAATTCCATTGGATATGTCCTCAGTAGCAGACTTAGTGGACGGACGCTTGGTTCATGTTCTCTCCTTTCGTCTTGCGAAACAAAGGTCCAAAGAATCCGACGGTTTGTAGAAAACGTTTACTCAACTATTTAGACTAAGAAAAGTAAAAAAAAGGGCTTATGGAAACCCTGAATCTTTTTATTTCTTTTCCCTTTTTATGTATTTGTTTTCATTCTGTTCATTTATTTATTTTTTTTTGCTTTATTGTTAGTTGTATATATATGATCTGTATATCTGAAAATTAATTAAAATAAGTAACTGCAAATTCAAAGTACTTCTTGCTCGTTCAATGTCTGGCACCACCTCTTTACTGTTTCAGATGGTTTATAAAAGGAGGAATCGTTTGCACCTTTTAACTGCGTTAAAAGCCATGTATTACGGACTAATTTAAACTCCTATTTCAAAGAAGACAAACACTTTGTTACGACTGGTTAAGCCTCCAGTTAATACCAGGTGACAAAGCTATCTTGGAGTCAAGGGGTGTGGCTAAACAGTTAACTCCACTCAAGAATTTATTAGAGAATCCCTGCAGGATATAACAGTGTATTTACTAAGTGTTTTGCAAAATTTTCGGTCTTTGCATATGTATGAATTTTTCTTTGTTTTGTTAATATTTCCCCAAATGTTTTAGAACTAGGTCTGCCCGAGGATGTGATAGGAGAAGCAGAGTGTGCGTGGAGGAAAGTTGTTTCGCTTGCAAATGGATCACGTCATTCAAATTTGCTCGAATCTCAGTTTTTCCCTATGTTTGACGGGATTGCTACTGGCCTTCATCACGTAGAAGGTTAGTGACAATCTATCAAAATATGCCACGGCAGCACTGCAACCACGTACAAATGTTTTTTTATTTTTTTTAATTCAGTTACCTTTAGAAGACATTGCTAAAACCTTTGCCAATTTATTTTGTTGACATACTTTTTCGGCAACAGGAAAGCTAATTGTAAAAAATAAGAATGGAGGAATATAATTAAGCTCATCATGAGTTTATTCGGCTGTTAACATAATTTTTAGGCAACAGGAAAGCTCACAGTATATCAAGTGAAAATCGGTTGAATATAATTGAGCTTATCATGATTTCATTCGGCTGAAGGACGGGTATTGGAATTCGTTAATTAAATCTTTGCTTGGTTTATTAGAAACTACCTCGATCGGCAGCCATGTTAGCCGTTAAATCTCAACCTTGTTTGTTTCAGAGGGCAATTCAGACCATGATGCTTGCTTACAGCTCAGGAAGCTCCTTGAAGTGGACAGTGTTCTTGTAAATGAGTATGCTGGGGATATCAGATCAAGAATTAACGCTATGGCTGGGTAAAATGTGCAGCGACGTTAAGATCTTTCAAAATAGCATATTTGCTGTAATGTAACGAAAAATACTCTCTACATGGTGGTTTGTTTATTTTTCTTATCTTAGAGATGAAGCTGTAAATGAAATATTCAACAGCGGAAAGGAATTTGACGAACGCTACCACTGGCATGCTCTTAAGCCACTTACCGATGATTTTGAAAGGACGAAACAACAGTTTAAAGGTAAAACATGGAATCTATCATGATTATAGTTTCATGAATAGATTGGTTAATAAACCTATAGCTAAATGCCTCTACACCCTTCTTTACTCAGACAAGCCTCCGACCGATCCAAGAGAGAGAAATCGGTATTATAAAGACAAGATGAAGCATGTTCGCTATCATAGACTTTATGGCAACTCACTCGTTGGTGGTGTCGATAATGCAAAAATTATTACCGTCACTGAAGACGGATCAAGGAAAAAAAGAGGAAAAAACAAGGATTTAAAGATGGTACGTTAGAATGAGTCCACTGCTAATGACAACAACAACAACAACAACAACAAAAAACAACAACAACAACAACAATCTTTTGTTGCACTTTTCTGATGAATGATGCACAATTTTTTCTCGGTCCGCGGGTGGCCAATGCTAGTCTACTACACTTTTCTCCCAACATGTGGTAGATAAACAGAATGCTAATAAGATATATTTTTTAGGGGAAAAGGAAGAAACAGATCATTGAAGAAAATGAACGAAGGATTGAAGGTTTGTCTTTAACTCACCGAAGCTATGTTCCTAAGTAGAGGTTAATGGTCGTAAAAAGAATTTTTTATTCTACGTTGGGGCCTCCTCCTCACTCGAAAATGACGTAAACGAAAACTTTTCTCAGAATAGCAAAGATTCTGGTTAAGCTCTCCGTCCTCTTCCATTGTTTCGAAGCTGTTCCGAAACAAAAGACGAGAAATTTCGAGTACTCTGCTATAAGTTGCTTTGAATTTCCACAGGGCAGTTGAAAGAGAAAGATGAAAAAAAGTGGCAACATTTTCAAAAAGAGATTGTTAGGAATCTGAAGAAAGAGAACCACGACACTGTTCTTCAGTCGGTGGATAAGTACCTCGCAGATTGCAAATATCCACACCTTCGTCTTCATGCACTGATGGAAAAAGCAAAGACTTGCATGGCAGCCTGGCAACATACAAGTAAGTAAAAAACAAGAGGGACAAGTAGAGTTCTTTCATTATTGATTGCCATTCCTCTCCGAATCATGTCACGTAGTTAAGGGATGACTAAACAAGTTTAAAAAAGAGACTTGCATTTAAAATTGGAATTACTACAGAAATTCTCAAAGTTTATGATGACGGCGTATTTTTGTTAAGGAACTCTTGATCCTGAATCTAATGACATGAAATATCCTGTCCTTCTGATGGAAAGTGTTCAGAAAATAGCATATGGCTACCAAGACCTTCTCACCGTTGAGGACAAAAAGACACTATCTGGATTTATGCAGAAGCTAGGATTTAGTGATATCGCATCCATGTTCTACGATCGAGCTGAAGGACGTGAGAGCAAGGTCAGATGAATGGTTGGGGAACTTGGTTCCTCCTGTTGTCCCCATTCGCTGTGCATTCTACAATATTTTAATATTAACAAATAGTCTCTCTTAGGCAAAGCAGTCAGTGAGAAAGGAGGAATACTATTTTTCCCATTCTTGATTCTGACTGATCCAGACTAATTACGTGGTATGCTTTCCTCCTTTCTGATTTGCTGCTCCGTCCAAAGAGACTATTGTTACTTATTAGCCAGGAGAAACTTTCATCTAATTGTGACAGCTATGAAATGATCAAGAGCCATCCGTTTCGCGAATTTTCTTGACTTAAGATAGAAATTCGTGAAAGTGTTTGACTTGAGGTGCAGTTTTCTACTATTTAACGCACTAGACCTACTTCTACATGATACAAAAGGCCATCGTTTGTCTCAGACCTTAAATTTGCTTCCAAGAAAGTTTCGTTTCATAAAAAATGGAAGCGTAGGTGAATAAATATCAATGTTTCGATATCTACAGCATCACAGTGCGGTGCAGTAGATTTTTTATGAACTCTCTTCCTATGAGGTATTCTTAGTTAATTTGTAACACTTTGCGGGGGACTCTGGGGAACTTTGGGCCTAAGGTGTATCGTCCTTACTCGTCTTTTAACTTAACGTTGCTTTGGCTTGCATACGACTTCGTATTTCAGACTAAAGAGCTATGTGTTCACACCTCAAGCGTAAGATTCCAACTCGAGCACATGGGCCATTTGCTGAAAAGGTACGAAAGAACTGACTCCGACCCCAGGGTGGACCATTTTATTCCAGATACATGGCAGGTATTTTGACATTTCATTGTACACGAATATGTACATAGAACTATGCGAAGTCAGAGGCGGAAGAGAGAAGGGGATGAAAACCTATCATAAAAGACAATTAAAAACTAATTAGTTGAAAAATCGATGTTCTTGTTCCGAGATACAGGAACCATATTTTCCTGATCAAGCACCCCCTTCGATTACCTCAAACTTAGATAGGTGAACCCAACGCTAACATAAGACAGGGATAGGAAAAAGATCGTCAGTTCCGAGCTCAAAAATCCCCCTCCAAACTAGATACGGGTAACCCTCATAACACTGCATAATAGTGCCCCTCCCCCCTCCCCCACGATAAAGAGTTTACCCATTTGGAATAAGCCTTATGATGTAGCTCCCTCTTTATTCTGCCAATGCGTTTGTTCTAAATGCTCCTTAGCGTGAACTTCTTAACGCCGTGGATAAAAACGAGTCAGCAATAGTAGTGGCGCCCACCTCGTCAGGAAAGACTTACGCCTCATACTACTGCATGGAGAAAGTGTTGAGGCAAGACAACGATGGTGTTGTGGTCTATGTGTCCCCAACGAAGGTAACGGTACCAGCTAAGCCTGTGTTAGTTTTCAAGACCTCCATAATGAATTCGGCCTGGTTCGATGACCTCGTCTAATTAGATTGTCCTCACCGGTAGCCTAGGCCATCATAAATTTGCAAATAAGTTCATATTACACGATGGGCGAAATTTTAGGAATGGTATAGGAATAAAAAATTGTATTTTAAACTAAAATTCGGACGTTGGAGTTTTCCTTCCTCTGTATCTTGCGGCTATTACTGGGCTGATTTAGACCCTTCGGGAAAGGAGGTCAAAGCAGTGGAATTAAATTTTGGCTAAACGTCCCTAACCTGGAGTAAGTCCTAGAAAAGTCTGATGTCGGTTACAGTGACTAATATTTACAGTTAATCAGTTTTCTTTTGTTAATATCTGCAGTTGATGCTTTAATTGCTCTTTCAGGCCTTGGTGAATCAAGTTGTTGCTACAGTTTACGCTCGCTTTCACCGTAAACAACTTCCAGAGGGAAGAGCAGTGTATGGTGTTTTCACCAGGGATTATCGATTCAATACGTTGAACTCTCAGGTAAGCTGAGTAATTTGGTATATATGTTTTTCTGAGGCACTTTGATTGCGTTTAAGTCCTAACTCAGAATTATTTGTTTCTCTTTTTCCCGACAGATTCTTGTTACAGTTCCTCAGTGTTTGGAGATACTTTTTCTCTCGCCCCGTCGACAGGATTGGACAAAGAACGTTAGATACGTGATCTTCGACGAGGTTAAGTGAAGAGATTGCTCGAAGCTGTTTTCAAAAGTGAATCATAAAATGGCGAGCGGAAAAATATAAGAGTGCGAAACCCAAACATTTTGAGTATTTTTTTTCGTCGCTAAAGTACTCATACTTTGTTTAATCACTTTCACCAGAGTGGGGTGAGGGTCGCACAACAGAGCGAGGCTCCAAACTAAGTGCGCCCAATATCCCACCCATCACACCCCAGGGGAGGACATCCATCACACAGTAATCTCGTGTGTGGGAAATTAACGTCTCCTACCCCAACCCTGCAGGAGACGGGACCTCCATTTATTCGTCCCTGACCGAGAAGACTAGAATATCTAACCATTTCTTGGCGTTATAGAAAGGTAGCAAATTCTTCTCAATTATTTTAAGACCCTAGGTGTTGGTCCGGCCGGGGCTCGAACCCTCGACCTCCCGCACAACAGTCCAGCGCTCTATCCATTGAGCTAACCGGGAGGCGGTTAGCTCAATGAATTCTTCCAATGGAATTCTTTCAAGGAATTCTTCCAATATTTTAATACACACTTAGTATTTTATCTTTTCTTCATAATGACATCGAGCAAACGGTGAAACGTCGTCGTTTTCACAACATTTTAAGACATTTTAAACATTTCGAACCTAGATGGTTTAAAACTTTTCACTCTTTTCGCAGTGCTTAATTGCCAGTGAAATCTAGTCATCTTTAGCATGAAACTGAAATCTTGAGTTGAGTATGCTTCTTGTTTCATAATAGAATTTCTCCTTTATCTTGTAATTGCAGGTTCACTGTCTTGGTCAAGAGATTGGTGCTGAAGTTTGGGAGCATCTCCTTTTACTTATTCGTTGTCCCTTCCTGGCACTCTCAGCAACCATTGGAAATCCAGATGATCTCATGCAGTAAGAAATGATTGTGCAATTAAGCGTTTACTGAGTCCTGTGGGATTTTCTCTGCGTGCCAAGTTAGGTTCAAGATGTGACATATTCACTCTTAACTGGTTTTTAAATCAAATCATGCAAACAATCCTGATTTTTGTTTTATTACAGGTGGTTACAAGCTGCCCAAGACTTTCGTGAACAGCAAGACAAGCGAGAAAGTGTCAAGCTCAGGACGTCTTATAAAATAAGGCTGGGTAAAGTGATAAAAAAAAAAAGAACCAGTTCAGATGTGTTGGCTTTTCATGAGCTTAAACAAATATTATTAATTAAGTAATTGAAAAAATCGGCCTCTTAGTCAGTTGAATGAGGCAATTTCAAATTGCAACAGCTTAGTTGTTTATTCGTCCTGGTTTGAAGCCAGACGCCGAACTTTTTTTTTGTAGCAGAACCACATGCATGAATTGTGCTGACGTATATTGTCAAATCGTGGATACATCCGGCCAGAACTGAGTGGGAACTCGGACTTATCCTTAGAAGAATTTGGTTCTTATTAAATAGCAATTTCTCGTATCACAAATTATATTTCATCATTTGATTTTGTTTTTCAATATCCATGTACGCTCTAAGGAAAATCTCTTGTTATTTTCAATCGGTCGGCTCTTACTCCTAATTAAGGTTAATGTCTCTATCAACAGGCCCACTTTTATTGATTTGGCTCAATGCAAAATTTGATTTGGGATCGCTCATGAGAAGTTTATTGTCTGAAAACGGACGTTAATGTTATTACCTTCTCTTTTCTACAACCGACCATTACCTGTCAACACATTTTCGCTCTCCCTTTTTAAGAATTTCTGGTTTCTCACTGATCACACCTGTTCTCAGACCTGGTGTCATTATTTATGACTGACAGGTGGCCATATTTGCAAACTTAGAACCTCTTTTTTGCTGCTTATTACGGGACTGCTATTTACTAGGGGGGAGGGCTGGTGCAAATGGGGGAAGAATCATAATATTTCATGTAAACAAGAAATTGAAGCTTAGGGTGGGGAGGGTCATAAATAATTTGGATCCCACGAGAGGGATGGATTATAGTCTTTTTCTGAAAAAAAAAATCTGGGAAGGGTATAAAAAAAAATACACCTGTTAAAAAAAGTAGCGGGAAACAATACCCACTCTTACAAATGACAGGTTCGTTAGTAATATTCAAATTATTTGACATTTCCTCAAGTTACTTGTCCTGAGAGGTACTCAGATCTAGAAAAGAGCATATACCTTCCAAGTCCCAGTAATGGTGGATTTTCAAGTGAGTCAGGAGAATATGAAGGTACTTACGATCTCAAGGGCATGGAAGAGTTTGTCAGACTTCACCCATGTGCACAGCTCGGATTCAAACAGGTGTGGAAATAACAGCAACAGCATCATTCCGTGATAGGGCAGAAAGAACACTATATATTTTTAAGCGTAGATTGATTGAAGCATTTATAGCCTTTTTCGTGATTTTGAACATTCAACAATATAGTTAGTCTTCATACGAGCAATATGCCGCGAGGTTAAGTTAAATGGAGACTGGGACTAATGACATCATCCTTGGAATTCGACTGTGTCGCGTATTGTATCTTAGTAGACGTTTTGTTGTATAGTATCGCTAAGTGTTTTTACGAGTTGTGCCATATTTTCACTCGCCCTACGGGCTCGTCAAAATGCAAACGACGAGTAAAAATACTCAGCGATACTACACTACAAAACGTCTAATAAGAGATTTATTATTCAATGCGCCAAATTGTTATTTTATTGCAGGCGAATTCCGAGGATATTTCTGGAGTACAAATATTGAGTGATATTTGTACTCGTCTATGGCGTTATTTGTTTTCTATGGAGTGTAGTTGGATAATAATACATAGTATCGTAACGGAGGAAAAATTTTGACGAACACAAAGTTGATTCCTAGCAAAAAACGAATTGTCGCAGATGGATTAAATGTGATCGAAAGAAGTTAAAGGGTCTATCGCCATATGAGTTATTATCAAAGATGACCGAAATGAGTAAACTAGGCAAATACCAGATCGTCCATTTGTCCCGAGGTTGGTATCTGTGTAGGTTTATCAACCAGTTGCTCGTTTTTCCAAAACTAGCTGCGAGAAAATTCTTTGCCTGGTGATATGGTTCTCACTCCACAAGAAACTCTGCAGCTGTTTGACGTCATGGTTCAGCAGTGGCCTGAAAAGGAATCATTACAGGTCAGGAGATAACTCAATTATGCAATAGACCGCACACTTCCCATAGATTTTACCGGCGAAATAACCCACGCAGGATGTTTGGAGAAAACGAGAAAAGTTTGTATTCAAATCACGAGCTAGAGGCGAGTGATTTACAAACTTTTCGACCCCTTTCAACCCTTTTTCCATTGCTTTTTCAAATAACATAAAACAAGAGATTCTTTTTCGCACTAAACATGATCCTATTTTTTTCTATTTTCTTTGGGTTAAGCGGTGCAATAAACTATAGGTTCTTTTACCAATCAGGGCTCTCTTAGTATCAGTCATTATGATTAATTTTTTGAAAAGGAAGTAAATCACATTCTCGAAAAAAGGGACCTACGCTGTATCTCATTCTGCACAGCATTAAACATGTACCAAGAGCCCAATCATCCACTTCCTTATTCAATGTGGACGAGTATTTTGACTTCAGATGGTACATGAATACCATTCAAGACAGTATTCTCATCCAGTCAAGTGATCAAAAGATCACCTTTAACAACAAGCTTGATAAAATAGCAGAGGTATCATTAAAAATAGTAACAATTGCTATGGAAAAGAATGAAACTGCAATTTGTCCACCTCCAATGCCACTAACTTTGCTTTATATTCCTGCCTTTGGGCACTGATGAAGATTGTATTTCTCCGGGAAACAAAATTCTCTCTCGATGAAAGAAACAACATTGAAAAGTGTTATTTACACCATGAACTTTTAACCCAAACTATAGTGATACTCCAAAAGGGTTATTCATTGTGTCATTGATTTAAATTTTTCATGCAGGAACTTGTTCCAGAGAAATATTTTTTGAGAACTGAGTTTATCCAAAAGGACCATGTTCGGCGATACGAGGGTGAGGTAAAGGTAGAGTTCAAGTCCTGGGCGGATGAAGGGCAGGTGGAAAAGGTAAGGAAGTATTATGAAGATTTCTGTATGACCATGCATTTAAATGCAGCCTGCGTTTGTTTCTTAGGATTGGCAGACAGTTTCAGATAAAGACTGCCATTTCTTTTATCGACGTTCCCTAGGCTCTTTTCCAGTTTAAAGGCATTTGAAGAATCTAATTTAGAATTTCCGAATCGTAAAATAACAAACGCTTATGATCATAGGAATCGCTTTGCTCTGCCATTTACTAGATTTCAAGTTTTACTACCGATTAGACAGAGAAAAAGCGATAGAGAGGGGGGGGGGGAGAGAGAGGCAGACAGGGACAGAAATTTATTAAAATCTTGAAATGCTATTTTCAAGCTATTTTCAAGCATGCATTTTTTCCGATTTTCAAATGGAATATTCTGAACAAAGTAGACGTTGTTTGAGTTTTTAAACCTTTTTTTTACCCTAGTATAAACATCGCTTCGCAAGCAAAGTGACAAAATCTAAAGAGTGTTAGGAAAGAGCTTATGCTAAAATATATGTGGAAAGATGATTGGATTGTAGTCTTTCTTAGTGTCAAAAAGGTTGTAATTTTAGGGTCATATGTCTTCCTCTAGGTGAAATCCGTCATTCGGTCGTTAAACAATGAGTGCATACAAAAGCAGTTCTCAACCGAGGAGGAATGGAACAAGCAGGAAATGCCTTCATCTGGTAGAGATTTCATCCGGAATAATTTTACAAAGCTCGTTGATCAGCTGAGAGCTCAAAATAAGTTGCCAGCCCTGGTTTTCAGGTACGAACATGATTTCTGCTTGCATGCAGTTATAAAAATACCAGGGGCGAGGGACGATGAAAATAAAAGAAAAAGAGGGGAGGGGGAAGACCGAAATATTGTATAACCTCAATCGGTAGCAACAACTCGTTAACAGTCAACCTGTGGTGGTTCATAACCAAAAAAAAAAAGACATAAAACTAAACATTGCTGAAGAAAGGAGGAGGCCAAGTGCCTCACATCTCTCGATATGCCCAGAGTGGGGCTCATTGCATTTCAAGCTAAGTGCATAGTCCACCTCAAACATGCCAAAGTATCCTCTATGTACTTTGTTGGCACAAGCAAACAGTGATCACTGATAGTAATCAGTGACAGTGATTAGTGTGTCTGCAATCAATTTGTGCCATGCATAAATATGCAGTTGTATAGACGATCTTACGTTATTTTGCTGAGCACGATGGTGTTGATTTAAAACTGCAACACGAGAACTAATGTTTTCAACCGCTGTCAGTCTTTGTGAGTGCGATCGATAAAATCCACACCGAATGGCCACCCATGCTAATTTTCAGGAGGGGAGTAGCGCTCCCCCTAGCCCTTGCCCCAATTACACCACCCATGAAACTTGTTGTACGTTACCATAAATCGCTAAAAAAATTTAAGTTCTACCGGACACTCACGTCTTCTTTAATAGTTTTGATCGTCAGCTGTGCGAAGTTCTGGCGGAAGATCTCACTGTTGAACTTGAAGAACGAGAATTAGATCTGAAAGCACGAGCTGGCTTGAGAAGAGCAAAATGTTTGGAAAAGAAGCAAGCTAAAGCTGAAAAGAGAGCTAAAAGGGGAAGAGATTCAGCTGAGAAGCGCAAAGGAAAAAGGTGGAGTATTCACTAACCATTACTTTAGCTTTATTTGATTACAGTTGAAATGCCTTTCATAACATAAACCTAACAGTCTAAAATCTTGGCTTTGCATTTACATCCTGATGTCATAGCTATACATTTTTTTAGTTTTTATTTTCACTTGAAAATCCAATTTTCCCTCTGTGGATTCAGTGGCCATACAGAGGAGCAAGATGAGACGGACTTTTCAGTGTTGAACAGACCTCCACGAGATCTCCACGAGACGGAGCTGGCCGATAAACATGGAATTATTCACGAGGTAACCAAGGGGGTTTGTCATCGATTACAGACGTTCACTTAAAGAGAAATTTTCAGTTGAGTATTAACATAATCCGGAGACTGCATTAGTTTGCTTTACTTCTCTGTGTGACTGGTCCCGAAAACGTTGACCTCTCTCTCAACCAATCAGATGCAAAGGTAAAACCAATTGCCACTTGTTCCATTACGTTTTCACTCACTTCTGGTTGTGAGCTTGTTTTTTCTCTTTTTGGGGGTTCTCTCTGTTTCTTTTTGACATCTTCCTTCGCTCAGATTGGCTGTTGTGTTTATCTTGGTTTCGGATTTACCACACTAAATCCACATGTGCTCCATAAAGCTTCCTGCGAGAAGCGAAATTAAGCTTACTTCACCTAAGTCTTTGAGAGGCCTTCCTCTATTTGGGGATAATTATTCAGTTGCCATGAAGTAACTAGATTTGATCAGTGATTTTTGTTCCGTAGGATTTGAACAAAATCATGAGTCGCATTCAAAAGCACGCAGAGAAGAGTCAAGGGGAAGCTGACAAGAAAAACAGCAAAAGGTATCTTGTTTGAGTCTCAATTTTTAGTCTGAAAGACATTACTGTGTTTTTTTTCTCCGGTGTTTTCATTGTGATGAAGCAGTCTAAATTTCCGAATAGATTGATGAATGAAGGAGAAGATGAAAATGAAAAGAATCTGGATAACCCTTTACCTGAATGTACACTCGGCTTTACACACGGAATTGGAAATGAGGTATGTTTGGTATCAAAAGGGAGCTTATTGTTAAAGAAGGATTTGTTTAAATACCACTCATTTCCCCGCCCTTTTGTGGTTTTGCCGCTGAAGACCGCGGGCCTCGGTACTCTTTTCTAACTGCAGCAGCCATCTTGGGTTTGTTATGTTTTGAACTCGAGATAAATTATCCTCTCAGACGACTTATTCCTGTTTATTCAACTGTTCTGGTATCGAGAACACTTATGTTGGCAATTAATTGCTTTTATCTTTCTTTAACCTTTTATTTGTAATTCTATTTATTTATTTATTTACTTCTTTTAATTCTATCATTAGGAACTCAACAAGATAATGAGTCGTATATGGTTTATGCACAGCAGAGATCCATTCAAACGCGGCTTGAAACGAGGAATCAGCTACCATCATGCTGGATTAAACAACAAAATGCGAAGCGTCGTGGAAATGCTCTTTAGGGAGAGGTATCTTCAGGTAAGCTTTCTTTAATGGGACAAAAACTGACTTAAAAAGGTATTATAACTAAGTTCCCAAACGATAAGGAGGAGATCTGCTAGTCAAATTCGTCGAATTTCCTCCATTTAAAATAAAAGCAATCGTGTGAGTTTTATGAGTAAACAAAAACTTGAGGCCCTAAACTCAAGCGATGACGTTCCCTTTTACTTGCAAGATACCTTGACGTTGACGTAATAAGGATCTACTGTCCATATTTAGGTTGTCACGGCAACAGGAACCCTGGCTCTTGGTATGCATATGCCTTGTAAGACAGTAGTATTTGCTGGAGACTCTCCATTCCTTAACTCGCTACAGTACAGACAGGTATTTGGACAATATTAAAGATTATTCAGTGGTACTACAGTGGTATCCATCTTATCCAGGCGTCCACTTATCACAAATAAAGGAGAGTGGGTGTATTTGACGTTAGATACTTTACAGACTAGTTAGCTTTTTAGCAATGAGACATGCCTAACATAGAACTAGTTAATCACGAACATTATGGATCTTATCTAAATATTTCTTGTCAAAGGTACTTAAAAGTTTCCAGGTTAAATATTGATGGATGGGTCGACTCAACGGTATACAGCTGTTGTTTGTATTTTTCGTTAAAAAATAAATGAATAAATAAATAAGGCGTTATTTTGATTCAAAGTGGAGAGAAAATTGTAGTTGCTACTGCATCTCCCTCAGATGTCTGGAAGAGCGGGTCGAAGAGGCTTTGATCCCGTGGGAAATGTTGTGTTTTTCGGACTCCCTTACCGTAAAGTCCAACGCCTCATCACCGCAAACGTTCCAAACCTTGTGGGAAACTTTCCCATCAATGTATCACTGGTACTGCGCCTGCTCCTAATGACATCAAAAGGAGACGATCCACAAGATGCGTTAACTAAGGTTGGTGCGACTTTAAGATGAATTTAGTTACGTGGAAACTTCTCCTTTTAGAACCTAATTTTCTCCATTTTTCTAAACTTTTTTACAACATGGTCGTTATTCTTGATTTGCGCTTTCCTCCCCAAGGGGTAAAAATGATTCTTCATTGAGGAGTTGTACTCAAATGTAACAGTTCTTAATTTAATGTAGCATAGAAAATATCTGTCTGTTTAACCGTGGACCTTGGTTATTTCATATGTACTATTGTTCATAGGCCAAATCGAATGATGATAATAGTTCTCAGAACGAATTTCGCAAGTCTCAATAAATTACAACTTTAGAAATAGTCGATTCAAACCATCTGGAAATATACAGACCAAATAAATAAAGAGCAGTGATTAAGAAGCCTAACTGGCTGGAGGCAGACCAGTTGGCTATATACAAAGAGCGGCCGAGAAGTTGAACTCGGGGCGACCGGGAACATATCCAGTGAGGAGCAAGGTGACTCTAGGGTGAAGGACTTGAACCCAGGACCAAGGACCAATCCAAAGTTTCCACGTCCCCTAATAAATGACTAATTGGTATGACAAACTCCACACCTGTCCAATTTTCACTACAAGTGTTGAAAAATAAGATTTTTGTATTGAAGTTGGCTCTGTTGTCCCCAGGCTCTGACCCTGCTGTCTCACCCTTTCATCTGCCGAAAACACCCTGAGATGGAAAGCCAAATCAAGAAACATTTCCTATTCAGTGTTGAACTTCTTACCAGATTGGTGAGTAGAAATTGTGCGTACAAAATATTAATTATAATTGTACCTAAAGTAACGTACAGTGAAACATAATATGTGTAAGCAACGTTTTCATGGGAACTGTATGTAACTTTTCCGACATCAGAACCATTATCTGTATCTAAAATGAACTTTAAATCATTTCGCCGAGTATTGAATACAGTTAATACAACACTCTCATAGAAAATTTACCCATGCCATGAAAGCAATGGTCGTTCCTCAGGATGCAATGTTGTGTTAGTTCTTAGCAGGGATAAACAGTTATTGCAACGAGTCACTACATAAACAAAGAAGAACTGAACAAAACGCAATTTAAAGGTGCAATGTGACGAAGATACCAGTCATTCAACAGCAGACAAAGTCATATAGGAGACCTTGCATAAACAGATGACTGGGCTTCTTGAATCTCTACTTTTTCTTGTCCTTATCCTGCCAGGGTCTTGTAAAAGTAGAAAACGGAGCTCCGCAAGAGATGGCAGGATTAGCGGCCCATCTTCACTACCATGAACCTTCCAACTATATTCTGGTCAGTTTTCTAAGACGTGGTCTCTTTCACAAGTTTTGTGAGCCAGGGACAAATGGTAAGGACGCCATTCTAAACCGATAAAACATAATCTTAGCGATTTTCATACTCGTAGAATGTTTCGCTTACAGATCGATTGAAAAGAGAAAGACAAATGCAAAGCGGTTAATTATAAATTCAATCTACTCGATCAGCCGATTTGAGGTTACTTTGGCTAGTTGAGAGACTAATTGCAAACAGCTGATCTGTTCTTGTTGACAATGTATAGAACTCAATCTTGATGTAACGATCTAATCTTGTAACGTGCATTAGATTTTATGGTATTTTCTTCTCCCTCTAACAGATGAATTTTCTCAGGATGTAATGAGAAAGATGGTGCTTGTTATAAGCCACTTGATTGGAAGAAGATTTGTCCACCCCTCTCTGAAGCGAAGAATTTCAAAGTGCTCTGCTTCAAAAGTACGTCTGCATTAGTCCTCTAAGACGTTTTTCTTTTCGTGATATCAAACTTTAGTTAGGGTACATCTTGAAACGTGCTGCAAGAGAGAAAGATGTTCTGCGTTTTGTCAGAGGCGTGGGACAAAGAAAAAACGTTGAGTTCACGCCTACCACGAGATTTTTCAACGATAAGGCCATTTATTAGGTTTAAACCTGACAAGTGCCCTACATACTGCGAATTAACAAGAATTATCCGAAGAACAGTGTGTTTAGGTAAACTTAGAAAGATGTTGAATACGGAGCTGGGCTGTGAGAAATCTTTGCATCTTAGACATAGAAATGTCTCTGAATCTATTGTCCATCTTTGTTCACATTTCAATTTTTTGTCAGAATTAATTAATGTGCCAATGAACCGCATCTTATTTCTGATTTAGCTTCATGAGTTGGCCTTGAAATAGGCCATTTCGTAATTTAACAAGTCTCTGTCGGTAACATCACGGAATTAACTCTGGATCTGTTGGTATTAAAAAAAAAAAAGGCTCAGCAGCTAATGTTTCAGTGTTTTGTGATCATATTTTTTTGTGGCCCATATCTATTGCAGGTGATATTGGAGCCTCTTCCAAAGGATTTTGCTGAAGCTCTGAGCGACTACAATCGTCAGGTCACAAATATTTTCAGCCAGTACCTCGCAACAGTTGCTAAGGACCTTGAAAAGGAAAGCGGGGAGGAAATCAAACTTCCCTTGTCGGGTATAGGTAATTAAACTGACAACAAAGCTTTTATTGACCATTTTTGGAGAAAACAATAAAAATCAACTTAGATCCCATGCATGTTGTGAGTTGTTGTAATGCGTGAGAGGTATTTTATTATTTAAATGGATGAAACAGTCGCATCGGATAGTGAATGAATCTGCACTCTTTCACCGGCGTTTCAAGTAAAAGTTTTATTTGATGAATCACAGTAAACTATAACTGTTGCAGAATTTCCAGGAAAAGTGAGCATTGCTGAAGAAGACCTTGACAAGTACCATGCATTGAAAATTCTCGCAAACACCTCTATTCCGTACTCGGCCTGTTCTTCCTTCGCCGCACTGTCAGGAAATACAGACGAACAGCTACATTCTTCCAAATCTGCATCAGCTGAAACCCAGGAGTCAGAAGACGACGAGGAAGAACCAATAGAACATTTACTCAAGGTGAATATAACAACAACAAGTGTATCCATAACGCAGCTTTCAACTGAGTGCCGAAAAACCTAAACCAAATTTATCACTACGAGCAACAGAAAACAGGTTTACACTGTCACGGGCCAATGAGAACTCAAAGTGAAAACAAGCAAACTGCTTGAAGCGCGGGAAAACGCGAGTGACCAAGACGCGAATTGTTTTAAGTATTACATCTGATTGGTTGAAGGAATGGCGCGAGTTTTTTGTACCAATCACAGAGCAAAGCTAAGTAAAACCAACACATTACTGTATTTCTTTTGACAAAATTGAAAATTGCACAACGATGAACTTTAGGTGACAAACAATTGGTTAACATTACTATGTGGGTCAGTATAACTATTTGTGTCTGGGAATTTGTAACGAAATAGGTCCACGCCATGTTGAGTAGGTGCAACAGTAGGCTTGATGGCTGTTTAAGTCTTTGTAGGAAAGAACAGTTTTCTTTTCTGGTCGGAATTATCTACAACAATTGGCTGAGGTATTCGAAGCTTGCATTTTGTGGGCAAAGCAGTCACCAGGTTCGGCGGTAATTTTCTCTTCCAGATTGTTCGTCAAGATGTCTACACAGACGTGAATGTCGTGCCTACTCTTTCAGTCAGGGGTTCTCGACGCTTGAATGCGTATGCATTGGACTTTTTCAAACATGGATCCTCTAAAGTTATTGAGAGAGACAATGGGTTAGTATTATTGGAATGACAAAAAGTGTTCCCAATGGCTTGCATGTAGTCCTTAATTGCAATAATGCATGCGGATCAACGTTAAAATCGTTTCAAAGAGAATGACTCAGTCTAGTAAAAAAGACAAAGTTTAATACCCAGTCTCGACAAGGTAGATTATTACTTATATCTCATTCTTAATTAATTAATTTGTTGTATTTCCCTAATAGAACTGAAAATGTAACGAAAAAAGTATGTTCTGTTATATTTAGCCTCCGTTTTCCGTAAAAGCGCTAAGCTTTCTGCTGAAAGTTCTTATCAATATTGACTTTTCTCGTTTTAGTATCAAATCTGGCGAGGTTTTCACTGCTCTGAAGGATTTTTATCTGACCATTAAATCAATCAGGTAAGCCATGTTTATAAACAGCGATTGAGAAAAATGAAAGTTATAAAGTGCGCTGGCAGACTACTTTTCAGCCTTAAAAAAAAACACTTTTCGCATTCATTCACAGCACACAACTACTTTTAGTCGAAATGCTTATCATACTGGTGCCATTGTTGCTTTTTGTTTATTCAGTAATTGCACATGAAATAATATATTAATGAATTATGAAGTCAGAGTTGTCACACGATCACTGTGCTCGAGCTGCCTTATCAAAGCCGAAACAGGTTCGGCCGTTTTTGAATTTTCAGGCGAGAGACTAAAGCGAAGCGAAAGCGAGGTGGGAGTCTTGCGTGTGTGGTAAAGCTCCAAAAAAAGACTTCTCCACTCGCCTTTTTCTCCTTGCGCCACTTGTGGTTATTCCTTCGCGCGAGTCACGTCCCTTGCACTTCCCTCCACCAAAGTAGTTATGCCTGTTCTAAAAGCTTGGTTATCAATTATTTTTACGAATAATTACGGTTTTTTTATTGAATTTTTTGTGATGTCCTGTGATAGCGTCCTTGAAAAACGGAAAAGCGATTATTAGATGTTAAGAGATCAGACACAACGCACTCATTTCGTTTTGGTTTTTAATGTTGTTGTCGAACTTGTTTCCACGAATTTGGCCCTTAGTTTGTGTCAGTGCCCCGGCAACTTGTCAGGGAAATAACTTATAACTTTTTTTTTTTTTTCTGTACCCCACAGCACTTCATTGGAAGAGATGGGTCCTGAAAGCGACAATGTAGTACGGGCGTTTAAACAACTGGCCCGGGAGTACGGAGAAAAATTCAATAAACGGTTCAATTCGGACATATGAGACAGTTTGGACGGAAGACCTAGGTAGTCTATGGGTTTCTGCACTTAATTCATGTTGCAGAGGCCTCTGCCCACTCCGGCCAACTCTGTCATGCTGAACGAGCGTAGACAGTCTCTAAATTTGACTCTTAACCCTTTCAATCTCTTATAATTAAAGCGATAAGCACTTCATTTCTCCCGACAGAATCACCCCAGAATCAAACAGCAAGGTCATGAGGATAAAAGGAACTATCAGGCACGTGAACTCACGATGCTCACGACTGTTCCACAAATCCTCTTTAGGAGATGTATAGAGTACAGTATGGAGAGCTTGCATACTAATGTTAGGGTTTTAATGGATAATGAGATGATTGTTCAAGTTGTTAGTAACACATTTTCCACAGGATGCAGAAGCATTATGAATTATTTAAAATAAGGCATCGATCGATTCGAAGTTGCAACATGCCCCCCCGGGCATTTGAACTTTTAGAATGTTGGGTAGTTCACATCCCCTCCCAGCCAAAATTGCGTTCAAATGCCCCAATTAATTCCTTACCCAACTCGGGCAAGGTTCAAATTCCCCATTCCCGTCCGGGCATGGACGACAGTCCAGGTAGCCCGTGGGGGAAAAGGGATGTTGAAGCTTCGAATTGATCGGCAGATAAATTTGGCGTGAAACCTTGGCCCACCATTTAAAACTAATTTAACAAATATTGACAACAAATTTTCAACAATGTTCAAAACTAATGGATGGCAATAAACTCTGTTACCTGGAATTTTTTTCATCGCCCGCTTAGTTTTGATTTTCGTGCCCCTTGCTTCAGCATCGGCAAGTATTGCGTCGAGGTTGTCTTCTTTCAACCTTGCGAACTGAGATCTAGATTTCTTTTTCTGAAGATTCCCCCCCCCCCATTTTTCTTCCGCCTCGACAACTCTTCTTCAAAACTTTTCTCTCAGTATACTGATCTTAAAATTCCGAAATTTATCACTGTCTATATTTCAGAAATTTACCGTTGTGAGGATTGCTGAACGTTGTGTTACATTACATCATTTTATCCTCTATAACCATATTGACAAATAGTTCTCGACCAATGAACGCGCGAGAATTTCTACAATCATGGTAAAAAAAACAGTTTAAATTCTAATTAAAATTGCGAGTTAAACATCTGAATGATAACATTGGGTATTGTCAATCTTACTTGCATACTTCGTTGCTGTGTTGAGTAGTCGTAAAATGTTAATCACCGGAAATAAGAAAAGTCACTTCATAACTGGTATGTTCATGTCCTTTTTGTTTCCTTTCCTTGTTTTGTGGTAACACATAGAGAATAAGGAGTGAAAAAGACGCAGGAAAGACTTGTTTACTCGCAAAAGCAGATAATTTACAATACTAACTACAAGCTTTTCCTTTGTCTTCTTGTCAAGATTCTGTAACAAAATAATTATGTATCACTTTTACAAGCACCCAGTTGTGTGCTAACGAGCCCGTTTTGTTCAAAAGGGGTTGGGTACTAAAATAAGTTAGAAATTGTCATTTATCGATGTAAAGCCTCCAAAGATAATTTTCCTACATGCGCTTGATTAATCTCTCCAACGTCACAGCATCTGTTATCTATCCTGGTGGGAAGAATCGACGAGGACACGTACCTCCCGATCTTTTGACCTACATCCGTCCCGAAGAATGACGGGTCTCTGTGCGACCATCGGGATACACCGTCTTGACTGTCCCGTCGGGGTATTCTCTTTTCTATACAAAAGTCGAAGAAAAAAAGTCAGTTATCGATGCCGTGCTTACAGAAATTGGAAGTTCTCATACAAGGACAACTTAAGGATGTAAAAAAAAAACGATTTAGTGACTGTAGCTTGCTGCTAAAGGAGAAGTGTAACGAGTTTGCATAGAAGTCAGGTTTGAAAACAAGGAATTTAGTTACGACGGCTGTGATGGAGGCTGCTGAGCTTCAAAAATTTGTTAAGAAAGTTTCAGATGCAACATATATCCACGTCTTTCGCATCTCGTAGAAAACGTCAAGCATGACTACGCGTTTACATCACGTAATATAGGTATTAAGGTCGACTTTTCCTTGATATGTCACTGTTACGCCAGTCGCAAAGTTCTAAATGTTGGCTCGCTGACCCAAGCCTGAGGTGTGGGGTCCTTTTCCCACGAAGGGAAGAAGATCTCATTTCTCAGTCCCCTTCTCTACTCAGCAATAGAAAAAGGGGCGTTGATTAGCTGTCAGAAAAACTGGCGAAGCACTGAGGAGTACCCTGTGATAGACTTTTCTTTTCGGATCTTGACTCAAAACCTGGAAAAAGTTTGACCTGTCCAAGACAGACGGATGACCAAAACGTTGCCCTAACAAGAACTAACAACAACCTGCCTCTGCTTACTTTATAGAATTTCGTTTGTGTCTCCCCATGTCCACTTGGGAATTCAATGGTTCGCTCGCCATCCACCTTAACTTTCTGTATAGTGCCGTCACTAAATGCACATTTCTCGGCTCCATTTGGGTACAGATACTTAATGGTTTGGTCAGGGAAGATGATCTCTTTGGTCCCATCAAGATAATGTTTCTCGATTTGTTTGCTAGGAAGACAAAAGCAAAAGTGATTCTGAATCAGAGATAGTGAACAATTGAATAGAGTATAAAACGATACACAACAAGCTCTTTGCAATAGCGCTGAATATTTTCTGGCAAATAAAGTATAGAACCTTTTCCTTCCATGTTAGCTCATGTTATTAGAGAAGACCTGTTCAGGACACTCGTCAAGCCATCTACACTGTTATCAACAAGAAATCCGTTGGTGTATTTGCGGTGGAATTTACAGTTAAAAGAACAAATTGGTAAAGTTAGACTTTGAGTAGTCCTTTCTTTAAAACCAGTGATGTTAGCGCGTCGCGCGGAACTGTAAGGGAAGTAACATCAGTTTTTTGACTGATTTTTTATTAGACTTGTGCGACGGATTTTGTCGAAAGGAGGAGGGACTACTTTTAGTTTAAGGTGAAATGATCAGAAAAATGGAAACCTGAAACAGATCGTCCCCGAAGAGCAGGAGGTGAAAACATTGTCATTTGGACTTGTTTTCAGCCCAGATATGGAAGATCTAAGTAGACTAATTTTCATTTGACCGCCCCCCGGTTAGCTCAATTTGTAAGAGCGCCGGGTGGTGTTGTGCGCGACGTCGAGGATTCGAGCCCCGGCCGGACCAATACTCATGGTCTTAAAATAACTGAGAAGAATTTGCTACCTTTCTATAATATTAAGAAATAGATAGATATTCTAGTATTCTTGGATAAGGACGAATAAACCGTCTCCTGCAGGGCCCGTCTCCTGCAGGGTTAGGGGTAGGAGACTTTTATTTCCCATGCACGAGATTACTGTGTAATGGATGTCCTCCCCTAAGGTGGGATGGGTGGTTGTTGTCTTACTTTTCATACATGAGCCTCTGGCTCGGGCAATTGGGTAACCATGCCTCACGTAAAGACAATAAACTTGATTGAATTGAAAGTTGATTGAATTGAAGGTGGTCTAAGATTGGACAGGTCTTTTTCTTTTTAACACCCTCTATGACTGTTCCAGAAAACCGATTTTTGGCTTTTCAACCAATCAGATGTTAAAACTAGTGGTGACTTGGCCGCTCGCGTTTTCTCGCGCTTGAGGCGGTACCACGGTACCACCCTTGGCCTTTCAACCAATCAAATGCAAAGTTAAAATCAATGGTGACTTTGCTGCTAATATTTTCCGCGCTTTAGGCTTTAAAAAACTTCAGAGGGGAAACATGTTAACTGCATTCGGCAAACTGGGAAACTGCAAAACCTCTAGCCCATCTGGATAAGTGGTATGTGTTGTTTGAACGTCATGAACGGTATGTGTTGTTTGAACGTCATGAACGGTATGTGTTGTTTGAACGTACATCCGATAAATGAAATAAAAAATGAAAGGTAAAGAAATTTCCATTATGAGTAATCAAAATTAACATCAAGAAGCTTTCTCATCCTCGTCAAACCCACCATATGGTTACATTTTTGTTGAGAGCTGGAGCTCACCGGAGAGAAACATCTAACGTTCCTTTGCCCGTGAGAAAGTTTGAGGACTGGTGCAACTCGAGCCAACGAGAAGTCTGGCACTAACAACTAATGCTCGACCTCCTCAAGCAAAGCAGAGAGGCATTTTGTTTGCGCATGCGCGAGTGGAATTGGCTCGTCGCTTTCGGCGCCTTTTGTAAAGTTTTCGATGCGTTTCTGCGAGGTTTCAACTGGACGATCGATACCTTTTTGTATTACTTTTTAAAGATAGATGAAGGAGCGAGTATGACAAGTTCACCAACATTTCTCACTCTGTGGATACTCATGGTGTTTGCTGGCTCTTCGGTTGAGGACATTTCAATGATCAAAATGCCAACAAAACGCGAAAAAAAGCCCGAGAACTTGAAGTTTGAGATTTGATTTACTGAACATCAAAATGTGCACACGAGACAACAAACCTTGAAGGTTAGTAGTAAGATGCTGATGTTTTATTTTTGTCAATCACAAAGTTGTATGTGAAGACGATAGTGTATTTGATCTGAGGAACGATGGAAATTTTGATTTTGATTTTATTTTACTTCAACTTCGAAGTAAAATTGCGTTAAGTTTAGGGTGGCCCCCAAGCATCACGTCACTTTAAATAACATCGTCTTTTCGTTCTCTTTACAGTCATATAGGACACAAGGGTTTAAAAAATGTCCCAGCTTCAGGATTAAGTTGCTCTTACTACAACCCTCGCCGAATTATTTTTCGGGAGGTTTTGGTGGATTTTCCAAGTCATGACCCAAAACACTCTCTGGCCTCAATCAGCTACGGTTTTGGCTTATTTTTTTACTGTGTTTATGTGGTAATTTTTATTATTGCCTTTTCGAGCTTCATGTGTTAACTAGAGGAAAAACTTCGGTAAAACTTATCAGTGAGCCCCCAAATCCCATACTATTACCAGTTAATTAATTGTCTATCTAGCTTTCAGTCTAACTAGTCCATTTACCTAAAAAAAAATGCGTGGGCTTTGTCTCATGAGTAAAACTGGAGCCGTTTTCTTCATGTTCATGTGTTATTCGAAACGAATGGCGACAGCTGTATTCTGTCCTGTTCATTTCAGTAGAATGCTTTGCCTTGCCAAATAAATTTTGAGTCGAAGTGCACTATGAACTTCAAACCAGTGTAGTAATATTTCACTTTGCTGTATGCGTCATGATCTTGAAGTTCTTATTTCTTGAGATTAATGATGGAAATTAATTGTTATGTTCTCTTCTGTTTAGGGTTACCGTGATGTGAAGTGACCCAATAATTGGTATTATTACACGACTCGGGTAGTCAGAGGGCCAATAACTAAAATCAACCAATCAAAATGCTCTATTGCCGGTCCAATATTCTCTAAGTATTGGACCGTGCACTTTCCCGAATGGTCCCGAATCATGATACCGTGTCCCTTTGAACTTCAGTTGTATAATAAATCTCTTATTAACCAAGTTTGCTCGGGATCGTATTAGAAGAATATCGGTCCTCAGTCTTTTTTTTGCGCTCGGTCCGTACTGTCAAGACCTCGGGCCAATATTCTCCCAGTACGGCCCTCGCGCTTGGTTAATAAGATATATCTATAGACAGAATGGATGGCTGAGACATTTACTGTGGCTAGCTGTTATTCAAGAGTTTGCCATTATTCCCAGAGGCTTACATCTTGTTTAGATTATCAGTCTTTTGTTCTCTGTAGACAACTTGCCAAGACTAATATGTTATATGGGAGTTATGTCTACTCTATTTGTAACAGTAAAATTGCCAATATGACGTTTTCAGAAGTTTTGTCCGGATTTCATTGAAAATAAATGTGAGGAATGATCAGTTATATTCCTCAAGAGTGTTTAAGCTTCCAGGATGAGAGCTAATAAATTTCTTGAGTGATTCATACATGATTTGTCTCCTGTAAAATTGACACGGCCAAACCCCCTGGCAAATGTCTATAATTTCTTTAAATAGCGGTCAGATTGGTGCCTATTACCACTTAATGTGCAATATCAAAGTCTCCTTTTGACTTCAGTCTTATTTCTCTAAGCTCTAATATGTGTAAATCATCCATTTTCAGAAAGAGGTCAACAAAACTCTCCTCATTGTTTTAACCTGACTTCATTCAGTCTTGTTCCCAGGGAAATAACTTGGTTTTTGTCCTCACTGATACTATCAGCTGTATAGGTTCTCATCAAATTGTCAGACAACTCTTGCAATTGAACAGGTCAAAAAGTAAGGTTGCAAAGACAGTAAGAAGGATAAATAAGTCAAATATAATTTTTATTGGGAAAATAGTTGATTTATTTAACTATTATTATTACAACTGGAAGCTCAAGATGTCATTTGATTTTATGCACATTTAGGCAACAGACTGGTCTTTCTTTTTTTGCACACACGTCTCCAGTTATAATATAATTCTCATCTGTTGAGGGTTAGGGGTAGTTTGACCAAAATAAAGTGATCAGATTTTGGTAAAAATTTTCAGGTTATAAACCACATGTGATGATATCTTCGAGACTGATGAAATTTTTGAGACTGATAATTGAAAAGAACTTTTTTTTCTCTGATAAAATCCATAATTATTCTACCATTTCCCCCAAGTTATGATGACCATATCTCTAGTGCTAACATTATCCTACTTTTCTTAACTCCGCTGGCTGTGATTCGTGAAAAAACCTTTTCAAACAAAACCTGAACTTCTGTGAACTTTTACTTTTTGCTTAAATTGCAAATACATTGCACTGAAAGTTGAAACTCTAAAAACACTCAAAAGATAGTAAGCACTACAAATGTACTCAATTTTTTTGAGAAAGCAATGACACGATTAAATTACTATCCAACACGTCTGTGCTCTTCGACAGGCCTCCTGTATCATTCACAAAAAAGATCATCTACATCGATCGCACCAAAATTATTAAAGAGGACTCGAATTGAACTCGATTGTACACCCTTTTGCTTTTGCAAAATCAATCGATTGTGACTTCCTTTCGCACACCACACAAGGCTAGGACGCTTCCATCTAAGTTACAGAGGGAAAAATGACGAGAAAAGTTGTCTCAAGAGCTCGTTCCACTATTGTTTTCCGACCCTGTCCTCCTTCACTTCTTTCGCGGGAAACCCAAACCGTCGCTTAGCAGCGGTTATTTGCTTCAAACAAAAATTTATTGAACGTGCGCAGACAAATTGCCTCTCTCCTGCCCAAGAACACAACATCCGGCCAGATCTCGAGCCCAGACCTCTATAACCGGAGTCTAGAGCACTGACCATTAAGTAACTGAGTTTCCCACAACCACATGTGCGGACACCACATTTAATTAGCTGACCTTAAAATTGAGATGAACCACGCTTATACAAACAGAAGTAATATATTACGATTCAAAGTTAGGAGTACAAATGTTGTAAGTACTGTTAGGGTCTCAGTATATTGTGTTGTGAATTACACAGTGCTGATATTTCATCGGAAAAAAAGCAAGACCAACAAGAAAAAAAGATTAAAAGGGAAAGATAAATTTTTTCAGAGTAATTTCAGTCCAACTTCCATTATCCGGACCTCGATTATCCAGGTTTCTTGGTTATCCAGACTTTTTCTCTGGTCCCAGTTTCGTCATGAATATTTATTAGTCATGATCAACATCCATGGCCGTTTTCTTTTTAAAACTACAGCGTTGAAAAGTGAAGTAAAGACGAGTTTGCTTCGCTCTCAAAAGGCAAAAGCAACACTCATACGCATCGTAACTAATGAAAATCATTTGAAGGAGGTCTGATTGGCTCAGAGTTGCTTTCTTGCTAAGTGATATTTAACGCTCTCTTGGCTCGTTCGGCGTGGTGTGCAATATAAACAAGCTACACAGCGTCACGAATCTTTACTCACGATTATCATGTCCTTGAAGCGTATGGGAGCCGTTTTTTCCATAAAAGATAAACAGTATATAATTTTGCAATAAGAGAAATGAGGAAAAAGAACCAGTTTGTCGCTTTCTTGGTTTAATCATTTTTGGTCCTCATTAGAATTCATATTCTCGATTATCCAAAACCGTCGATTATCCGGACTATTTCGTTTAGACCCAACGAGTCCGGATAATTAAGGTTTGACTGCATTTGAAATATTACGTTATATCTTCATGTTTAGTCTACCAGTAGCTCGATAGAAGGCCGAAACATTATGTTTCAGCCGACGATCATTTTTTAAAAGAAATAGACCGCATCTTCATTCTACATTCCTGTAAATAAGCTACCGAGCAAACTAAGTTGAAAACCATTTGCATCCTTTAAAACCACTTCAGAAAAAAAAAAAAAGATTCCTATCAATTTTCTTACAAAGGTTCTCAACACGGTAATCTGCACTAGAGTCCTCACTGAAATGGCTGTCATTTTCGCTATTACTGAAGTCATCCACAGGAACATCGGAGTTCGAATCGGTTGTTGGATAATCAGCTTCGCCTCCCTCGGCCATCCTGCATAGAAAGCAAATGTTAAGGTTATTCCACTCAACATTTTGGAACTCAGCAAATGTCAGAAGGGTACGTTTTACTTGCCTTTCTTTCTCTGAAAAGCAAACTTTGAAGCCTCGGGGCGAGGGACCGGATACTTGGGTAAATGTTTTCTGGGTAAATGTTTTCTGGGTAAATGTTTTCTGGGTATGTGCTTGCCCGTAGGTTGCTTCCGTTGCTGAGGAAGTTTTCTATAAAGTGATTATTAAAACACCATCTCCCGCAATGATTCATTTCTTAAAAGATACTCGAGTTCTGCTTGCATGAGCAGTAATATAACTGTTTTGAAAATACAGACCCATCATAGCCAGCCCAGTTGTGAAACTCAGCAACCCCCGTCCAGTGGCACATCCCTGTTGGTTTATATTAGCCTCCCCACCAAGGCCAGGGCCTAAAAGCTCACACAAAAGCCACACATCGACCTTACGTCTTCAATTTACGACTGTCGTGTTACATTGAAATGAATACCCTAAGTCTTGGCCCGCAATCGATAACACACATGAAACTGCCTTGTCTGTCATGATTTGCGTGAGGTTTTTTGAGTATCGAAAGGCAAAAAGTATCAGTGTTTTCTTGGACGGAGGTTGTCGGTAAAACGAGCAACGGCGTAACGAGCAACGGCGTAATGAGCAACGGCGTAACGAGCAACGGCGTAACGAGTAACGGCGTAACGAGTAACTGTGTAACGAGTAACGGCGTAAGAGAAACCGCGTAACAGGATTTTTTTTGTTATTATTTTGTTATTTTTTGTTATTTTGTTATTATTCTTTTTAAATTTATCACTATTTTTTTTAAATGAGAAAAATTATTATTCGTGAATGGCGGGGTTTTTCAGTTTCCTTTCTTGCTCCTCAATCTTTTCAGTCACAATTTGTTTAGCGTAGTCGTAGGGTTCAGTAATTGAGTAGTTTTTCGAGTGGAACTTTGTATAATTAAGTTAACGTGAGTCTAGGCTCGCAACAAGATTAATGCGGACTGAAATGGATCCAATTGCAATTTATTAGTTAGTTAATCAAAGGACACGTCCACCATTTTTTTTTTCAAAAGCAAGAAGTTAAAATAAATATGCGTTTGCACTGCTAAGTTTGCAGCCTTTAGATAACGTATAGACCATTTTAGGATGTTAAATGAAAACGTGTATTTAGTTTAAAAAAGTTTAATAAAGAAGATTTTGTTGCCTTTTTTTATCAAAGTTTTAATGGATGTGCAAGCTCTGGTTGGTTCTTTAGAAGAGAATTTCCATCAAGGTTCAATTTGTTACCTCCTCCATGACCGACCTCATGGAAGCCTGAGAATGTGCGCCTGCACTCTCCAGTGTCTCCGGAAATGCGGTAACTTTGGCCAAAGGGCGGGAAAAACCCCGCCAAACAGGAATGATTATATTCACATTTAATAAAAAAGAATGAAATTTAAAAAAATAATAAAACAAAAAAAAAAATTACAAAAAGAAAAATAACAATAAAAAAACGCCATTACGCGGTTTCTCGTTACGCCGTTACTCGTTACGCCGTTACGCGTTTTACTAACACCCTTGGAAAAATTCGAAATATTTTGATTTACCCAACTGTTTGCTTCGAGCAAAGATGAAAATTCCTGACATACTCTAAAGAAAACCGCCGCTTTTATTGTAGGTGGCAAGTCATAATAATTATAATGTATAATAACGAGTGTTTTCCAACCATACATTACCGACAGTTTTTTCGCTTCCTGTTCACAGAAAGTGACAATGAGACGGACAGGTGGATTTCATGTGACTCTTTCAGAATCTGTTTATGTCGATATCGTTTCTGTTTTCCATCCAATTTGAAAATATCTAAGACGAGCCAAGTATGATGAGCTATCTTTCTGCTACGTCTTTGTTAACCCTGGTTCACATATGATCGCAGACGATCGCAGGCAATCGCACTCGATCGCCAGCGATCGTCTGCGATTATATGTGAACAGCTCTGCGATCGAGTACGATTGCGGTCGCAGGCGATCGCAGGAATGGAACCATGTTCTATTCGTGCGATCGGTTGCGATCGTCTGCGATCGTGTGAGATCATATGTGAACAAAGTTCTGCGACATGCAATTCGAATGTGTCCAATAATGCTATGCGAGCGGCATGATACCATGACAACCAGTTGTCTACCAACTTTTAAAAAGGCGTGTGTTTTGACAATATGGAAGGTGAAATTGACACGAAACAGTTTATTGACCTGAAGAAATTAGAAAATACGACTGTTTCTTCAATCGCTTTAGCAAAGAATTCTCTCCTTCTTAAGACTTTCTGCACTAAGAAGCGACGTGTCTTCTTTGATCTTGCAGCGATTCTCCGTTTAAGTAAAGACAACAGAAGCAGATTGTTAACACCGCTTCTGTTAGCGCTATGTTTCTGTTAGCGCTTCTGTTAGCGCAATTGTTGTTAGCGCTATGTTGCGCTAACTCGCCGAAAACGCTTCAAAATGGCCTGAGACGCTCGGAATCAACAGAGAAAACAACAAGGCAATAAGGTGAGCCCATTTTATTTCAAAACAAGACATTTTTTTCTCTCTTTTAAGGCAAACCGATAACAT